ATTAAGCGAAGCAAAAAGCTGAAAGCTGAAAGCGGAAAGCTGAAAGTCTCGAATGGCTGACAATAAGAGTGTCATTATAATTGTTGACAGGCACAATGAAGGAAAGTGCAAATCATCGCCAGGACCTCATCGTCGTTTGTCCTGCTCGTCGAGTGCCTCCCCGCAAACGGGCCACGCCCAATTTGAAGTTGGAAAATTGCCGAGTTGGGAGTTGGTAACCAGTAACCAGAAGGCGAACTAGAACGCAGACCATTTCCAGCAGTGCGTGCATTGAATTAATCAAATCCTAAATAAAGTCATGCTCGTAGCTAACGAGAAATGTTGGCTTACAGGGAAAATCAAGTGGGTGGTTAAAGGGAAATTTTTAAGGATTTGGAAGAGTTTGTACTTTGATGTATTATATTTTAGGATTTTTTAGATATTTTTTATATATTTTATTTTATTTTATTTGAGGAAAATAAGCTTAGTAAGGTACAATAAGGTTGATACTGCCCATGTAGCGTTTGCTTTTTGAACTGTCAATAATTTTGACTTTGATGTTTCGAATGGCATAGTCAATGTGTCAGATATTTAGTAGAAGGCTTGCGGTTTACGAAATGGTTAAGTTTAAGCTGGAGGAAAATTGGGAAATTATGGATATTTTTATAGCAAATCTTTAATCTTTAGTCAGGCACTGAATATTTTTCACTTAAAAATATCTCAGCAGATAAGCTAGCAGAAAAGCTTAAATTTAGATTAAAAATTCTTAAAATAATAATCTTAAAACCCATAAATTATATTACACATATATTTGAAAATTGGAGTTTGAAAGAGAAAAGTAAAAATAGGAATTTATTCTTACCTTAAAGAGGTTAAACATTATAGACTTTCCAAGGGTTTTATAGGCCATAAAGCTAGCAGCGAAATATCAAAACTACTTTATAAAAATCAAAATCTTAAATTGTAAATAAAATCAAACAAATATAGATATATTAAATATTATTTAGTTTTTTATTTATTATTTTTATTAATTTTTTACACTGCTTGCTCATTCTCAATGCTCTCATTCTCAATCTAAGCTGAAGGAAAATTACTTTCAAAGAAGCTTTCGGCTGATATTTTCTTTTTTTAATTGTTATTTAAAAAATCTTTCTTTTAGTTTATTTATTACTTAGATTTCTTCTTTATTTTAGTTGTTTTATTAAGGAGAATCAAATTAACAAGAAAGTGTAAAACAGAGAACTTAAATAAAAGATAAAATACAGATTTTTGGGTAAACAAACAAAATGTAAAAAGGTTTCTCATTGAATGAAAACCGATTGGGAACTCAAATATGACTTTCAAGAGCTATGGCATCCCTTCGTCTGAACTTATATTTCCCAGAACTTGAATAAATTATCTTTGAAAATCATTTCTTTCCTTGATGGTAACTAAAGACTTATAACTTATTTAACAAATATTACAAAAAATATATCAAAAATAAATCTATCTTAAAGTTCTCAATATTTTTCAGTTTTTTCTAATTTTGTCTTAATAAAACTAAATAAATAACTTTAAGACATTGCTTAACTTAAGACCGAAACCAAATCCAATCAAAAGTTCACCAAAGCTAACATATGTACCCTCTTAGCCAATCTCCACTGTCGCCTTACACATGTATCGACTTGATGTGAGGCAATCAGAGCCACTCAAAAAAGGCAACAATGCCGAAAGGTAACCACCCACACAAGTGGAAAGCTGTTGGGGGAAAAGCGGCGGGAAAATGCGTGGCAGACCACCAGCTGCGCGAGCAACAGAGACACGTAGAGTGGGTGGAAAAGAGAGGGCAAGTGCAGAAAGCTGATTCGTTCATAGAAATCTCAGCGAAAGAGAAGGAAATTCACAGTTTCCCACGGGCGAGGAGGGGTGGGGTTGGGAGGTGGTTTTTAAGAGGATGCCCCTTGCAATCAGTCAGCCTTATCAGTTTGCCCAGCTGATGAGGTCCAACCGCAACTCCATGGCCATGAGGAGTCAGGAAGTTGCTTGGCCTTGCCTGCGACTTTGGGCACACCCCCCCTTGTCCACCTACAGGCCCCAGAAACCACTGCCACCGCCCCCGCCCACCGCTTAATGTGTTGCATTTGTCCTGCAGCAGGGTCGTGATTCGGAGTTGCAGTCGGAGTCGGAGTCGGAGTCGGCAACTACTCTCCAGTCACTGCAAGAAACCAGGATTGGCCAGACGACTACAGGGCTAGAAATGGAAGCCCTAATTTCTGGGGACACTGCAAGAAAAGGGGGTTGTTTATTAGATATATTTGTTATTTATTAAAAGAGTAAAGAATATTGATATTTAATAGTGTTAATATCAGACTATAAATATGTTTTTATTACATTTTTAAAGCTGATAAATGAGTGCATAAAACATAAAACTGTTAACTTGTTGATTAAAATTAAAAACAAATTTAATTTCAAGTTTAATTTTAATTTCTTTAAAGAAAACGTGGAGTATTTATTAATAATTATTTATTTTTTAAGATTTTTAGGTAAAAAACAGAACATAAAATCCATTTAAATGCCAAGAAAAGAACTGAAAAAAATATATAAAATTTAGATTTAAGTAAAACAAAAGATTTCAAACTTAAATGTTTAAAAATTATGCCTTTCTTTTATTTTAATATATTTTTTAAATTTAAAAAAACCTAAATTTTATATAAGATAGTATATAAAATAGTTAGAAAATATTTGATACATATTTTTCAAATCTATAAAATACATGAAAAAGTTTAAAAGAATAACCAAACTCTGATTTAATTTTGATTTTTTATAGTAATTTAAGTTCTTTACAAAATATTCCTATAAAAAATTCTGTAAAATTACTTAAAATAAATTCCATGACCCAAAATAATGTACCTTATAAAATAGTTGCCTAAATCTGTATAAAATAAAAATAATAAATAATTAAAATTAATTGCTATAAATTAACATACTAATAAGGGTTGAAAAAAGTTAGCCAAAGCCATTATAGAACCAAATCATTGTGTTTTCCTAAGCTAAGCTAACCCTAAAAATTCCCTAATTAAATTTCTTTAACAAACTTTACTCGTAAATAGCTTCTGAGTTTTCCCGCTGTGCAGAGAATTTCCCGCGGCCAGGCGACTTGTGCTGGGCACACTTACATTTCCACAGCCAGATCATCCACCTCCACCTCCACCTCCATCGACAGTCGACCGACAACGGTCTCTGCAGTTGTTGGACTTTTCATTTTCAGCTTTTACACAGGGGCTGGCGTTTTTCGGCTGCCTGGGCGTTTTGTTTGCATAAGGCCAGCTGGTTAGGGGTGAGAGGAGGGGTAAGGAGGGGCGGGGCGGTACGGGGGGTGTGGTTCAATTAGCCCGCTTCTCAGCTGCAGCCCACAAATGCAATGCAACAGCTCGACCGGCAGCTTCCAGCTGTGGGAGGCCCAAATGGCACGGGTTAATCTGGATTTAGTCCCACAAATCACGATTGAGTGGGGGCATGTCTAGGCTGCGAAAGGTTTTTCCAAAGTTGTGAAAATTTTGAAGATTTTTAAAGGAAATATCTTTGAAATATTACCTTTTAATGGCTTGTTAAATTTTAATTAATATTAATATTATTTATTCGAATATTTATGACTTAACGTAGAAAGATCGAATGCAGAATGTTGATGTAGGTTTCATAAAAATGATGAATAGTTTTTCTTGTTGTCTGCGCTTTTCTCAACTTTTCTTTATCTTTAAGTTTTGATGTTTTCAAAGACTTTCCTAATTTGAGCTTAAAGGAAGTAATTTAGGCGTAAAAATTAAAAGTTTTCTTTAGAAATATTAAATATTTGAGGTGTTATGTATTTTTCTGAATTTTCTGATACATCATTACTTAGAAGTATAATCCCAATCTAAATCACTTCTTGAAAACAACACATTTCCTTGTAAAATATGCATTAAGAGCTTTATAAGTATTTTTTTTTTTAATAATTAACTTAAAATAAGTAAACTATTTAATGAATAACTTTCATTTCCCCTTCAAGTAAACTCTTTAGATAATATTTACCCAGAACTCATAAAATTTAAGTCAATTCTAAGCCCAAAAACCAATAAATATTGGTCAAGTTAAGCCAACTTAAAGTCCAGTCCAGTGCCCAGGTAGTCTACTTTTGGGGGCAAAGCTTGTGGCCAACCAAGTTTCTCGCGTTTTTCCGCAAAGCTGACCAAAAATTTCCTTTAATTCGGTTGTTTTCGGGTTAAAAACACAGCCACTCCCCCAGCCACACCCCCACCCCTTCGCTTAAGCCACGATAACTGCGACCGATAAGCCCGAAAAGTCGAAATGGAAAACAATTTGTCATTTTACTTGGATTTCTATTTTATTTTTCTTTGCTTTTCATTCCTTTTTAACCCCTTTTTTTTGTGTTTTTTTGGTTAGCTAGCTAGCCAGTTCTTGGAAAACAACATTGGCGAACATTTAATTGAACGCAGTTGCCTGCTGCATTTGTTTTTAGTTTTCCACGCAGGCACGCGATGTTAGAGAGAGGGTCGCAGGAAAAGCAAAAGAGACGGCAACAGGGGCACGTGTCCGTGTGCCGACAGCTATTTCGCTCGCACAGCGGCCATCGCTCTAATTATAGGTTAGGCCCGACCCTTCTGCCATTGGTCGAAACCGTTCATATAGAGGGGGCTGAGCTCTGGGAACTGGTTTACCGAACAGCCGGGGTTTTTATGAATGAAACCGAAGGAAAGGCACCACCAAGCGTATATATATATATAAATATATCTTTACCCCTGGCATCCATTCGCACCACCACCAAAGAGCGGTGGTGGTTTAGAGAGAGAGTCTCTTGTCTGTACGACCGTCTCTCTTCCTCTGCTGGCTTTAGCTTCGGTGGAGCACTCTTTTGTTAGCCTGAGATCAAATGGGAAAAAACAACGGTTCGCAGGCTGTCTCTCTTGCGCTACGGTTGCTGCTGCGACGCCGACAGCGGCAGCGACTGAAGCGGCGGCAGCGGCGACATTTAGACAAGCTTTTTGTTCGCGTGAAACAGTTGCAAGCCTTTGAACGATCAGCGACGACGGCGTTACTTTTGGCGCGGATACAGCAGCGACACTTTTTTTTCGTTGGCAGGCGCCTCCTGTCACTGTCACCGAGCAAACAAATCAACAACAAACAAAACCAACAACAAACAACAAACAAACAAACAAATAAACAAACCATAAACAAAACATAAACAAGCCAACCACCAAGCAGCCAAGCTAAACAAAACAACTGTGCATTTTTGGTTCGAGTTTCCTTTCATTTTCCAATCGCTTACATTACTTTTTTTTTGCCTGTGTTCCTTAAGAAAAACGAAAAAATATCGAGAAAAATATCGACAACAAAAGTATCGAAAATATATATCTGCAATCTGCAATATAAGCACAAATCTGAGTGACAATAAGAGCAGTCAAACATTGCAACTACCAAAAGAGCAAACAACAGCAAACATCAGCCGACGGCCGTGTGAAGAAAAGTGCAACGCCGACGGACTCAAGAAAGATACAGCTACAAAGATACAGCCATTGAGATACATATTTTATATACAGTTACAGATACGGATACTATCTGGGCTATTAGCTGGACCACAATCCTTATCGCGTTCTAGCCCGTTTTTGCCTTTTTTTCTGAGTGCGTGTGTGCTTGTGCTGTGCTGTGCTTGCCAAAAAACCAAATGTCCATGTCCTTTATGTCTCTTTCCCTTACTCTCCACAACAGTGAGCCTGTCCTGCAACAATAGCCACAACAACAACAACAACAACATAATCTATATATACATATATATAAAAGAAAAGATAAAGATAAACACAAACAACAACAAAACGAAACAAAAGCGAGAACCTTTGTGAGAACCCAAGTGGCCGCAAAACAAAGCCAGTCGACCAAAAGCAAAAAGACACCATCATTGTGCGCCTCAAATTGACAGCGGCAGCAGCAGCAGGAACGACAACTGCAACTGCAACTGCAGCAGCGGCAGCAGCAGGAACACCAATAACAACAATAAACATGCTAACGGACATGACACCGACCGCCGGTCAGCTATACGGTTCCCAAATACCGGCCATGGGCATGAACATCACCAACATCGCCACACACTTGCAGAAGCCACAAGTTAATCCGGTAAGCCGAACCCAAATCCTACTCACTTATAGATATATATCCCAGATATCTATCTATCTTTTGAAAGGGTCACTTTAGATGCTCTTATCGCGCTGCAGCATCTACGCACTTAACGGGGGGGGGGCCATACAATTATCAACACACTTATCATCACTTTAGATACAATTGGCACTTCTTGGGTTGAGAAAGTATCTACATCATAATCAGATTAGTTTAGAAGTTGTGTGCTTATTAGATACAAATGTATCTGATTGAAGGAGACAAAAGATGAAGTAATAAGGCTATAAAGATCAGAAAGAATAAACTATAAAATAGATACAATTATTGGGTGTTTCTAGACTTTGAGAGCTTCTCTTTACGTAACTTAGCTATTTATGGTATGAAAGATAGTTGCTTCATGATCAGTTAGTAAAAGCAGTTGGAAACAAATTTAACTGAATGAAAAGGCACAGAAAATGAGAGGGTATATACTAAAGGAAAAATGATCATAAGGTGAAGATATAGAAATCTTTTTTACAAATTTTCCTCACCTTAGAAATCAGTCAGAAAATGGTTAAGGCTGGTCAAGAAATTGTGTTAAGAATCGGAGCTTCTGTCATTGGAATATCTTTTAGATCAAATTCTGAGCTATATAGTTATTAAAGTATCTGTAGGAAAGGGAAACAAAATGCCAACTACCACCTCAAAAACTTCTCTTTTTATATCATAAAATCAAATCTTTAAAAAGTGCAGAAAATGTGAAGAATGAAAACTCATTTGCTAGACAATCCTTGGAGGTAAATATTGAGTTTAAAGATAAAAATTATCATTATTTTTGATATTACTACTAAATCAAGCTTAAGGAATTGAAATATATATAAAATATATATCCTTAGATATAATTTCTTAAGGAGAATGAATGAAAAAGAGCTTGAAATTCAAGTAGAAAACAAGAAAAAATATTATAAATACAATTTTAACAGCCAGCTCAAGCGATTTTAACCCTTAGTTAAAAACAAACTAAACATTAAATAAGTAAAATAAAAAAATCCAAGAGTACATAATAAACCCATAAATTACTCCCAACCACATATTATATTCCCATTTAAGAACAAATTCTTAAACTTAATCAAAGAACCACATAAATATGTAGAAGTTAGTCAGCTCTGTTAGTTATCTTCCTACAAAGCACATTTCAAATTCATGTTTTAAGTAACCAAACGGTGGCAAATACTTAACAAAAAACCAAGACACTCAGAAGACAAATACAGATACAAAGTGCCTCGATTTACACCCACCATTCGGTTAGCCAAACATCGGGCCAAACAACGCCCCAAGAAGTATCTCATAGATAGGCACACATGTGAGCTAGCTGCGGACAAGTGGCTGGCAGGCATTTTGTGTCGAGTTAGTCATGATTTGATGAATGCATCCCACAGATACTCGAGCCTTGGTACATAAATCATTCATGGTCTTGAAGTGAGCGTGGCGAAGTCAAGTTGTTCTATGGAAAGTATCTGTTGTCATTTGATTTCCATGCTCAATGGAAAATATCTCTCAGACCCGATTGCGGCTGTCAAAAAAACCCTGATTTCTCGCCTGTATATATATATATACTCATATTCAAATATGTATATCGGAAAAATCAACCACTTACACGGCATTAGCATTGACAATAATCAGCCATAAAGAAACGATGACAACAGACGCCGCGGATACCGATTCGCATCCGTTGGATTCACAGTAGCGCTCGCACCTTTTGTCAGCCGCTCAGCTGGATTCCTTTTTTTCCCTTGTTCCCTTGTTTTTGTGAGGCGATGATGGGAATCCATCGAAAGGAGAGCCTCCTGGTGCCTGTGAGTATCTCTAATGCTGGAGAGCGGGACACAAATCGATTGGTTGCGGCTTGTTCAGGATCGATTTTTCAGCTTTCGGTGTGCCAACGGATTTCACGGTATGGGCCACAGATACACATAGCTGCAGATACAGATACAGATACAGATACAATAGGTATGTACGCTGCCAGGTAGGCGCCGTCTCTCGCTTACCAAATCAATTATTCAGGCTCACTTTAGGTGTGAACCTAACGATGGAATCATTCCTACTTTAGATTTTTGGATTTTGTGCAAAACTCTAAAGATCATATTTCCACGCTGACTTATCTGACACGGCGGAAGCAAACACTTAAAGGCTAAAACAACGCATCAGTTCATAAGTTCATAATGATCTTCTGGCCCCGATCCGAAATTCGCTCATCAATCTCGTCCGGCCTTTGATCTGGCCCGAAAACTAAGACAGATTTCCGCTAATGATCGTTTTGTCCGGCTCCTCCGGGCTTTTTTTTTTTTTTCGTTTTGCTCTCGATTTCAATTCGGCTTTTCAATTAGCAGATAGATTATGCAAACCACTGTTTGTTGCCACATCATCGGATATTCGCTCGAGAAACCCTGTAATTCGAAGCGAAAGGTCAGCGGCTAGATCAGTTGCTGATTTGTATTTTGTAAAGTCTTTACTATATGATTAGTCTGATTAGGCTTCGAGTTGGTGTCAATGTCAGTGATTGGATTCTGAAAGGGGGAAAAACTATCAATATCAAGATAGTAAAGAGTAATGTCAAGAAGTTGAAAGTTCCAAAACCGCATTACTGCCAAAACATAAACCATTTTGTAATGAAAAATGCCAACACAACCTGACCACCACCTTCACTAAACCATCAAATCACCCATAAAGAAACATTTTTGAAAGTTTATAACTAGAAGTTATTAAGTGTGGCAGATTGGTCTAAGGGAATTCTCGATGTGTTGGGGATTTAGCGGGAATCGCATGACACTTTTAATAGAGTCAGCAACGCCAAATGGCCGCAATGTGATTGAGGGGCAATCTGCTGCTGCTGCTGCTACCCCTGGGGCCCGCCCACTTTTTCCATGTTTTCTCAACTTTTCCTATACCAAAGTGCAGACGCCACGCAACTGCGTGTGCCCATAAAAAATGTATTTGCCAAGAACCGCAGAACGAAACGAGCTGGCTCCTCTGTATAGTATTAACTGGCCCCTGTTGGCCACTACACCAGCGGATCTGCATATTGATGGAGGACGGAGAGGAACGAGAAACGTTTATTAAAATTAATACCACATCAATCATTTAACAAACGCGCCTGTCGGCCAACTTCAAAGCGTTGCCTGGGACTAGACCAAAAAAAAGAAGTCTTCCAGCCAACTCTGGGGCCTGCTTAAGAAAGTTACACATGCGCATTGGTTTTAATTAAAAGCGTTTAAAGCCATCACAAGAGAGTTGGGAATGAAAAAAAAAAGAAGAACAGATGAAAGATGATAAATTACCGAGACAAACTGAAAATTAACATTTGCTGTGGCGGGAAACAAAGAGACAGCCATGCTAGCCTGGCTAGGCAGAGATCAGAGTGAAAAGCTCAGGTTTTTTAGCTCCGCAAAAGGGATTATATTGAAAGCCGTTGTTAAATTATTGAAAATCATGCAACGATCCGCGTCGTTTTCCCATGAACAGCAGCCTCATTTGTTCACTGTTCGCTCTGCGTCGGCATAATCAGCATAACAAAAGGAATTAAGCAATAAAATATTAATGAAAATACACTGAAGAAGATCGCCGCGTCATTGACTAATTTGTTTGTGGTTCCTCCGGCTTCTTTTCACGTTCTCCGTTCTCTGCTCTGAGCTGTGAGCTGTGAGCTCTCAGCGGTAAGAAGGCGCCAGAGATCTTGAAGGCAGGGAGTGGCCAGCGGTAGCCGTGACAGGCGCCCCATAGATCGTGCACAGGGAGAAATTTTAAGCTAACGAGGTTGGGATATACTCTAAGGAGTTACTTTACATTACATTTTAGTTCAAGGAAGCAGGTTTAGGGATCTTCATTGGTGTTATATTCAACATACCATAGCGATTGGTAAGCGATATTCCCAAGGAACTTTCCTAAATAGTGTTAAGTTCCCATTTAAGAAGGTTGCTCCACCTTCAGTGAGCATTTTCGGGTAACTAGCAAACTATAAGATACAAAACCATTAGCTAATAAAGTTAAAAAATGAAACCTAAATACCCAAAATTAATGAACAATATCCTATCTCTTTCCCAACTTTATTTTCCATCTGTTAGTCAACCAAAAGTTCAACTTTTCCAACTTCTTTAAACCTTTTCTAGCAGTGTTCTTACCTCCTTCGGCTGCTCGACATATTTACTTAATATGATTTGGCTTAATGAATGCACCTTGGCTTTGTGCCTTTCCCTCTGCCCCTTGCCTTGCTACCCTGTATTCCCATTCTTTTCCCCTCTTTTCTAGTCTGGGCACATTTTTCACCTTTGACAAAGGCTGAGCCCGTCGCAATTAACTTGCGTCATTTGGAAAATTAGTTGGCATGATGCTGCAAAAAGCAGCGAGTAGGGAGTCCAGCAAGTAGGGGTGGGGGGGCTGCGGCACAAGGTCGCTGCCGCTTCAAAAGCGCCGCTTGAAAAGCATTTTTCAATTTGGTTTTTCCTTTTTCCGAGCCTTCTAGTTGTGTTTTTTTTATTATTATTTTTTTTTTTTTCAATTACAAAGACCACGCACCAAAAATTCATATGCGTGTATCTGACATACTGACTTGCAGTTTATATAACCTGGCCAAAAAAGAAAAACTATGCTGAGAACACGTTGCGTATACGCAATGCTCAAAGCCGCTGGCTGGCTGGAAATTTGCATGGCAAAATGAGAAAATGTGAATAAAACTGGAACAGACCCTGACCGGAATCTCGATCAGAAATTGCTTGACAAATAATTCAATAACATTCAGTCACTATATATATATGTATATATAACCCCTGAAGAGTAAGCTTTACACGCCCCTTAGGGTTCAGGCTGGGTAATTGAGATTACAACACGTGTTAACTGCCAGTCAAGAGCAGCTCCCCCCTCCCTTGGACAATGTAATAAACAATTTAAATGCCAAATAGAATTTATGCTAATTTATGGCTCTTTCGAAAGGAGAATGCTTAAAAAATGCAAATAATAATTGAAAT